TGGTTGCGGCACATTCATTTGCTGATATTCAAATTTTTGACCAAACGCGGAATTTTTGAAAATACCACCGTCACTTTGTCGACCATAAGCACCAATATCCACACAAACAAATGAATAATCCGCATTACAAATAGCCATTAAAACAACACTATGATGATTTTTATAATTATAATACGCTGAGCCAGCATTATCAGGACACTACAATGAAATTTCGAATTATTATGTAAGTTTCATAGGCGGTGAATTTAATTAAATAATTGTAACTGAATTTTCATACCTGTATTCGAATATGCTTTCCGTCTATAGCTCCTATGCAGTGTGGAAATTGCCATTTTTCATTAAAATCATGAGAGATTTCCAACCAATCTCTAACTGTCAGCGGATATGGCAATACTTTCTTATTTAGGCACTTCCATAACATTTTACATGTTTCATTTATAATATTAATTGTTGTTGTGAAACCTACAAGATAATGATAGGATACTGAAGCCATACAATCACCTGTTGCCAAGTATCTGCAGAGAAAAAATTAATATATAATACAGTTATGCTAACTTCTTATGAATCATGATTTGAATAATGAGATGAATAAGATAATTATTACCTTAGGGTCATTGCAAGTCTTGCTGTTGCTGAAATAGAGTTTCTTACAGTATTTTGTTTACTAATCAAAGGACCAACCAAACCTAATAATTCTTCGAATTGTTCCACATTCATTCGAAAATAATTTTCGAATTTTCCCGGAAATGATAAAAGAGTTGGAAATATAGCCTCGATGAATCCGTGATCGTCCCGTAATTTAAATAAAGGATGAATCCAATAACGTTTCTTCGTATAATTTCTTTTGAATAATCCTACCTCGTTTAAAAACAGAGCAGCTAAAATTCTTTTTTTCTTCATTTTAGCAATTTTTCTTTCTTGAATCAATTTTTGACACTCGTAGACCCAGATTTGATATTGATAATTTGTGAACATCTTTCTGTTTTTAATCACTATCTCTTTCTCACTAATATATTTATTATTTTATTTTATAGTTAATTGTTGTTTGTGTAATTGAGGTTAATAATAATAAAACATAAAACATAACAACATACAATCGATCAATCGATAGTTGTGAATTTTTGACGCTTAGTTATGTATGTTTGTTGACGCTAGATATTGCTGACGCTTGACGCGACTTTTTGACGCTCTTGAATTGACGCTCTCCTGTAGATGGCGTTTTTTGTCAAGTTTGACGCTCCAAACCAGCGTCAAGCGTCAGCATGAAATTGCACCTTAAGAGTAGCTTGCGCCTTCTGCACAATATCTGAGGAAGCAGTGTGCGTCATTTCTGGAACTCTACCTCTCAGAGTCCTAGCTGAAGAAAGACGGAACCTTTACCAACGAAAGAGGTCAACAACACTGAGCGCAGAAGAACTCAGAACGGAACAAAGACAGCACAGCATCACACGATGGCAATCTCAGTGGGATGCCGCAGAGA